CACACACACACACACACACACACACACACACACACACACACCTGTTTTGTACGATATTTTTAAGTCTTTTCTTTTTTCATTGTCAAAACCAAACATCAGCTTAAAGAATCTTTCTCTTTGTTTTTGGTTGAAGGGTTTTTTTCCTTGATAATGTTTTGACGTATTCCGAGGACATTTGAATCTCAGGACAGGCACTATAATTATCATAATACCCTTTCGACCTTTCGGGTTGGTTCATTTTTTTTTCAGCCATAAACAACTCCATTTCACGTATTCGTGTGGATATTCAATTACTTTTTGTGTGTTGGGGGGAGGGGGGGGTGTTTCTCTGATATAAACTCTATTTCATGTATTCGTGTAGATATCCACATACTGTTTTCGAAGACAGTTTATTAATTGTTCACGGGTGACTCTTCTAAACATTACAAAAACGTCACAAGTAAGCTCAAATTGTTCTCTTTGTGCCAAAACGCTGAATCATTGTGCAGCACACAAAAAGCTTCTCTTTAGTATTTAATTTTTCTTATTGTCGTTCTCTTTTCCTGCTACCCACTATGTTCTATTCCCGTGATAATTAACTGTCTTCTACCCCTTTCCTCCCCCCACCCCCACCCCCTTATCTCGGTCAGGTATACACCAGCACGACACTGCACCGTCACGTCCTGTCTGACGCCGGTTGGCGACGAAACGACACGTACGACCAGGACGCTAGGATCGCTTTTGAGTCCGTCATACATGTGAGTCATACATGCTCGGTGGGTTGGTGGGTTGGTGGGTTTGGGGTGGGTTGTTTGGTGGGTTGGTGGGTAGAAGGGTGGGTTGGTGTTTCAGCTGTTGGGTTGTATGGTGAGTTGGAGGGTCGATGAATGGGTTTATTTGTCGATAGATGTTTGGGGGAGGGGGGGTTGGTTTGCTGGTAGGTGTTTGGTTTATTACTGGTAGACTGGCTAGTAATTTGATTGGCGAGTTAGTTGATTGGGTAATTGGTTGATTGGGTAGTTATTTGGTTGGCTTGCTATTTGATTGGCTATTTCATTTAACTTACTTGTTATTCGATTGGCTAATTGGGTGGTTGGCAAGTGTCTGATTGGTTGAGTTATTTGATTGACTTGTTACGTGATTGGTTATTGGTTTGTTGGATAGTTATTTGATTGGCTATTTTTTTTATTGACTAAGATTTTGACTGGCTTGCTGGTTGATATCTAGTTGTTTGAATTACTAATTTTTTTTTAAATTGGATACACATTTCGATTTTTTTGTACGTTCTTTTTATGCATCATCAACTTCTGAACCCTCACGGTACTTGCCTTGTTACGTCATATCCTATCCGCTCTAGACCCTTGACCCCTTGACCCCTTGACCCTTTGGTCCGCAGGTGATCATGGACACGTCCAACTGGGAAGTCTTCGGCAAGTTCACTGATTACGTCATCAAGGCCGCCAAACTCCAGTCTCCGAGATGGGAACTTCCGCCGGGGAATGAGGTATTGTGGGGTGTTCTGGGACTGGGGCTATTTATAGAGTAGAAGGTTTCATTTTTTTGGAAATTTCATCGTAGTTCGACACTAAAATTAATGACAGTGATTCAGGGTCTAGTATAAACTATATAAAAAATAATCGTCTATCTTTAATTGTAGTCATGATATTTGCGATTGAAAGGGCAAAATTAGCGAGAAAATGATCTCCAAAGTTTGGTAATATCAATAACTGAAGAGTCCTTGAAAAATGAAAATTTACATATTTGGTCCCTTTTCAGTAAAATTCACATGGCAATGTGTTTTAAAATGGACATAGAATGCGCCCCCCCCCCCCCCCCCCCCAAAAAAAAAAAAATTTAAAAAATTTAAAATTTGTCAAAGCTCGGGGAAAACGCTTCTTTCTTCGATTTCAATAATTTTGACGAGGAGCTTGATTTCACCACGATGCCTCATATATATATATATATATATATAGGATATATATATACCACAGAGCATGGACGCCTATGCCCCGTTCGTGTATGACGCCACTCTGTTCTGGGCCTACCTGGTCAACAAGACACTACTGGAGGGCGGGGACCCCAGGAACGGCTCCAGAATCTTCCAGCTGGCCAGGAACTTTGAGTCCATTGGTGAGTCCACTTGAGCAAAAGTTCTATTTATTGTCACACCCCACCCTCAATAAAGAAAAACAAACAAAACGTAATTAAATAAATAAATAAATAAATAAATAAATAAATAAATAAATAAATAAATAAATAAATAAATATTTGAATAAATAAATGAATAAATGAATGAACGAATGAATGAATGAATAAATGAATGAAAAAACGAATGAATAATTTGTTTTAAAGATTGTTTTCAAAGCCATACAATTAAGGGACTTTTGTTTGTTTTTGTGTTTGTTTTTTGTTTTGTGTTGTTTGGTTGTTGTTGGGTTTTTTTGGTGTTTTTGTACGGAGAGGGGGGGGGGGGTCAGAGGCTGTCTTTTTGAAAATATCTTTCAAACCATGCAGTGAAAGTGATTTTTTTTTGGGTGGGGCTCGTTTGTCAGGTCCAGTCGAGTTCCTGTGAGTTATTGGGCTCGTTTCCCATCATAAAAACAAGACTTTCCAAGAAAAAATATTACTATTTCACCAATACTCACCCCCTGATATTAATTTTGAACCAGAGATCAGCATGTCAGACAAGCTACATGACAACAATATGTACAAAGCTGATAAGAAATTTATGCTAACTCGTTACCATGGTAATTACTGTCATAGCTATAAATATATCTTCCTGTTTTATATATTTTTCTTGTTATTGTTGTTGTTTGGTTGTTTTGTTGGGGGTTTTTTGGGGGGTGGGGGTGGGATTGTTAAGCATACAATCATTTAACAGAGTAACTTGGTACAAAACACAAAACAAAACAAATGAACAAGCCACTAAAAGTACAGCTTCTTTTAAAGAGTGACCGTTGCAATATTATCCTAAAAGTCACATGACCAGTACCTGTGGTGCTCCCTCCCCAGGTGTGACCGGTCGTCTGGTCATGGACTACAACTGTGACCGTCTGTCCAACGTCTGGTTCCTGGACATGCGCCCGGACGGAAAGTTTCGTGACTTCCTGCGCATCGCCAACACTGTGGGCGGGGCATCGCTGAAGAAGTCCAACGGTGTGGGCGGGTGTGCTGAGGGGGAGAACTCGACGGACTGTGATGTGAGTGTGGGTGTGGGGTGTGTGTGAGTGTGTGTGTGTGTGTGTGTGTGTGTGTGTGTGTGTGTGTGTGTGTGTGTGTGTGAATTGTTTGTGTGTATGTGTGTGTGCGTGTCTGTGTGTGTGTGTGTGTGTGTGAACTGTTGGTGTGTGTATGTGTGTCTGAATTGTTTGTGTGTGTGTATGTGTGTGTGAATTGTTTGTTTGTGTATGTGTATGTGTATGTGTATGCGTAAGTGTATATGTATGTGTGTGTGAGAGAGATATGGACAGACAGACAGACAGACAGACAGACAGACAGACAGACAGACAGACAGACAGACAAACAGACAGACAGACAGACAGAGTGAGTGTGAAAGGGGGTGGTAGAAATGCAGATGATCTCAAAGTACATCTTAAAGATTAAGTCTATACATCAGTATATCTGTCTGTCTCAAAGAGTAAAAGTGCTATCTGTACATCAGTATATCTGTCTGTCTGTCTCTCTCAATGACTGTACATGAGTGTGACTGTGTGTCTGTCTGTGTCTCTAAGACTGTACATGAGTGTGTCTGTCTGTGTGTGTGTCCCCCAGGACGGCAATGAGATCATCGACGTCATCTGGCGCTCGGGCAAAGTGGGCAGCAAGAACGCTCCGCCGGACACCCCGCCCTGTGGCTTTGAGGGAGAGTTCTGTCAGAAACGTACGTGCTACACGTCTGTTTGAGTGTTGTTTGTTTAGAGGGAGGGTTCTGTCAGAAACGTACGTGCTACACGTCTTTTTGAGTGTTGTTTGTTTTGTAGGGAGAGTTCTGTCAGAAACGTACGTGCTACACGTCTTTTTGAGTGTTGTTTGTTTTGTAGGGAGAGTTCTGTCAGAAACGTACGTGCTACACGTCTGTTTGAATGTTGTTTGTTTTGTAGGGAGAGTTCTGTCAGAAACGTACGTGCTACACGTCTGTTTGAATGTTCTTGTTTTGTAGGGAGAGTTCTGTCAGAAACGTACGTGCTACACGTCTTTTTGAGTGTTCTTGTTTTGTAGGGAGAGTTCTGTCAGAAACGTACGTGCTACACGTCTGTTTGAGTGTTGTTTGTTTAGAGGGAGAGTTCTGTCAGAAACGTACGTGCTACATGTCTTTTTGAGTGTTGTTTGTTTTGTAGGGAGAGTTCTGTCAGAAACGTACGTCCTACATGTCTTTTTGAATGTTCTTGTTTTGTAGGGAGAGTTCTGTCAGAAACGTACGTGCTACACGTCTTTTTGAGTGTTGTTTGTTTTGTAGGGAGAGTTCTGTCAGAAACGTATGTCCTACAAGTCTTTTTTACTGTTCTTCTTGTTTGTTTTGTAGGATTTTTTTCTGTCTTAGTTTTTGTTCGTTGTTTTTATTTGTTTGTTTTGTAGTTTTTTGTGGTTATTTTTTGTTTGTTGTTTGTTAGTTTTGTAGTTGTTGTTTTTTTCTGTTGCTGTTTTTTATGTTTGTGTTCTTTTTGTCTTCTTTTTTTTTATTTGTTCGTTTCGTAGTTGTTTTTTCTTTTTCTTTTTTTTTTTTTTCTTTTTGTTTGTTTGTTTTTAGTTATTTGTGGTTATTTTTGTTTGTGTTTTTATTTGTTTGAATGTTTGTTTGTTTGTTTGTTTGTTTTGGCAAATTGTATACTACAGTATTTCACACCCTCAAAGGCACAGTTTCGATTATTCAGCAGGCGTGCTGCTTCGACACTGCCTGTAAGGGCCAACCTGTAGTGAGTCTAGTGAGTGGGACACATCATCCCTGGGGACAGATGAAAATACTCGATTTTACAACAATGTTCCCATTTAAGAAATGAACTCACTCCTCTAGTGTGCAATGGCGAAGAGCCTAACCACTACACCGCAGACACTGATGATAGTCTATGTTTGCATATCTTACTACAAATGTAAGAGTTCGCACGTTCTACAGAGTAATACTGAATAATATCCTACGAAAGCATTCTGGCATTTTTTAAGACTCACAACTATATACATAATATTTCTTCATAATTTGTCAGAACTTTATTGATTGTCCGCTTTGTGACAGTTTGTCTCTCTTGACCTGCGAGTCTGTATTTTCCCCCACCTGTTGTATAATTGTGTTAAAAGTTCACTTAAACAGGATATTATCATACGAGCACCTCTGTATCTGTGGAATCTGAATAAAGTGTAACGCAGGATTCATGCCCTGCTTTTACTCTTGAACATATTGTGAAGGTTGCTACTTTTGGTTATTGGTTATGAATGTTGGTTATATGAATGTTGCTACTTTTGGTTATTGGTTATGAATGTTGGTTATATGAATGTTGCTACTTTTGGTTATTGGTTATGAATGTTGGTTATATGAATGTTGCTACTTTTGGTTATTGGTTATGAATGTTGGTTATATGAATGTTGCTACTTTTGGTTTATTAATGTTGTTACTATTGGTTGTGAATATTGGTTATGATTTGTGTCACGATACGGTGGAATCAGGCGCTCGTCAGTTGTTGGGCATATGGAGTTAATGTTATCACTTTAAAGCTGTGTTACTTGTCTTGCTTCCAATGAAAGAATACTTATCTATCTTATCTGGATGTTGGGATATTTGTGATTGAAGAATAGAGGGGGTGGGCACTCGGTTTTGGAGGTAAAATTAGCAAGAAAATTGCCACCAAAGTATGATGGTAACTTCTATAGATTCAGAGTCCTTGAAAACTGAAAATGTACATATTTTGTGCCTTTAATCAACGTTTTTACATAAAATTCACATGGAAATGTGTTTTTATATGGGCATAAAAGAGGTTGAGCCCAAAAATAAGAATTCAATAAAAATGTTCAAACTTTTCGAAACTGCTTGTTTCCTCCGATTTCAGTATTTTGACGATATTTTTTTGCTACTATGGTTACTATGGTTACAGTATTACTTGTCCATATCGCTCCCCCCCCCCCCCCCCCCCCTCCAAAAAAAAAGTATGTTTATGTATTGTACTCACCCCGTACAGGAGAGCTCAACCAGGAAGCAGACTACACCGACTCTATCGTGGGTGCGGCGGCCGGATCTTCCTTTGTCTTTGTGGTCGCTCTGGCAGTGCAGATCTCGCTACGGTAATACACCTTGATGCTTCTTGACTAGTTGTTGTTGTTGTTTTTGTTTTTGTTTTTTTTAACCATTTCATTGTTATAGTGTTTCCATCTAGTTTTGTACGGACGAGAAAAAAAGGTTCCCCCAAGAGTGATTTGAACAAAGCCATGATATATCTGAGGCATAGAGATGTGGGAAATATCTGGTATCTTCTTCTTCTATCCCGTGGTTGGGGCAACTGTGGGGGCACCATTGCATCTGACAACCAGCTCTCGCCATTTCTCTCTGCCCTCTGCTTTCCTCAGATTGTCACCCATCGTCTTTCCTGTCCACTCTGTAATGTTGTCCTCCCATCTCCTTCTCTGCCTTCCTCTCTTTCTCTTTCCCTGTACGGTTCCTTGTAGGATTGTTTTGGCAAGTTCTGTGGATCTTGTGACATGCCCTTACCATTTTAATGTTCGTCTCTTCACTGTGGTCAGTTGATCTTCATGCTGCCCCCCCCCCCCCCCCTGCACTGGTGATTCTGTTCCTTACCTAAGCATTTGAAATGTGGTCTTTGTATGAGATGTCAAAATATCTAGTATAGTGCGGTTAAAAATTCGTTGCGCAACTTATCCTCAAATATCTCCTTAATGAGTAAATCAATGTCAACCATACTTTGTACAGCCGTGTGTATCAATTTGTCTTAACTTAATCATATTTTTCCACAACAATTGAGGATGGATTTTTTAAAACTTTTTTTTTCCGTAAACTTATAGATCTGCACCTTTTCCCGATCAAATATAAAAAATAGAGAGCTCAAATGCAGCATCGAAAGCTCAAATATCAAAATAGTCAAATTAATTCAACATTAATTCAACGTAAGCAAATATCAATTCAAATGTAATCACAGGAGAGCTCAAATGTAAACATTAGGGAAATCAAATTCGTCATTGTCAGTTCAAATGCAGCATAGGAAAATTCAAATTCAACAAAACGAAAAACTACGAAGCTATGATGTAACCATCGTCTCTGAGTCAGGGGAAGCTACCCTGTCTCTTAGCAACATTCGTTGCTTATTGTTTACGTCTCTTGCATTCAGTACTCAACGTGTACTCTCTAGATCTAGATCTAGATCTAGATCTACACCTTTTCTCGATCAAATATTGAATAGCCAGTTCAAATGCAGCAATGAAAGTTCAAATATCTATCTCCTAGCTACATTCATTGTCACTGTTCTCGATTCTAGATCTAACCGTCGCAGTCATCTCATTTATTTTGTTTGATCCAACACTTCGACCGTTGTAACAGATCTTACCAGGAAGAAAAAAACAAATTAATACAAAGAGTAATTAGTTTCGATGATAAACAGAGAATATTGGTATACGAGAAGCCTTTCTGCGATGTGACGATTTCATAATGCTCGCTAAACAGTTGCAAATCAACCGAAATACTGCATACAATACCGTACGCCGAACGATCGAAACTTACGACGTTGTTGAAAAGAGATTTGGAAAAGTAACCACGGCAATAAAAGTTGAGCTTATTTCGATAGTCGAAGCCACCCTTGTAGATTACGCTTTCAACTAAATTTAAAAAACAGGTCTTCGAATGTCCCTGCCATACACATCATGCATTTGTCGCTGCTGCTACTTTGAACAGATTGAGAGAGAGTGAGAGAGAGGGGAGGGGCGGGGGGAGGTAGGGACAGACAGAGATAAAGTAAAGAAAGAAAAACAGATTTAGATAGACAGAGAAAGACAGACAGACAGAAAGGGGGGGGGGTGCTCAAGACCATGTCAAACAACCTATTATGTTCAAAATATGTGTGTTGAATTTGAAGATAGCAAATGTTGAATTTGAAGTGATAATGATGAATTTGAACTCTCTATTGTTACAACTGATAACGCTATTTTGATATTTGAGCTTCCTTGTCTTACATTTGCTCTCTCTATTTTGATGTTTGAACTTTCTATGTTGATTTTGATTTGACTATGTTGAAAAAAATTTGTTATGCTTCACTTAAACACTCTATTTTGATATTTGAACGGGAAAAGTTGTAAAAAATACAATACATCTCCTTCACGCGGAAAATGTGATTGTTCCCAGCACTTCCCGCTTCTCATATCACGCACATTTGCATACGCATATATGACCTATATCACAGCTCACCAATGAAACTTTTTAGTTGCAAAATTTATGACAAGAAATTCTTTGTATAGTGAACACATTTTTTTGCACAAAAGGTTCTCAAAACATGCGTTCAATAAAGATTAGAAAAAAATAACAGACTTTTTAAAAAATGCAATATTACCCCAGCTGTAAACATTTTAAAATCGGTAGACACCACCCACTTGTATTTTTTATTAGTATTTATTCCGGAATTTTCTAGAATACATGTAACAGATTTTTTTGCTAAAATATTGATCTGTTAAGACAAATTAATACAAGTCTTTGCGCAAAAGCCGGAGACGCGCTCATATTATGACCTTATTAATATGCAGTTGCGAACGTCATAAAACACTTCCAACAAAAAGCTGGAGAGGCTATGTTCCATCGTTTAGAAAATATTTGACAATAAGTTGCGCCATGAATTTTTGACCGCACTTACAATTGCGTCATGACGGTGGAATCAAGCGCTCGTCAATATTTGGATATGGAGTTATTAGTTTCATCTAAAAGCCTGTTCATTTTCCTTGCTTTGGATGAACAAAATACCCATCGATTTGGAATGGAGGTCGGGATATTTTACAACTGAATGACGTGGGGATCGCTTGGTTTCAGAGGTAAAATAGCGAGAAAATGACCGCCAAAGTTTAGTGACTTTCAAAGCTTGAGAGTCCTTGGAAAGTGAAAATCTACAGCGGTTGTTTTTTTTTGTGCTTTTAATCAACGTAATTCAGTAAAATCCACGCAGAAAGCTTATTTTACCTGGACGTAAAAAGTATTGAGCCAAAACACACCCCCAAAAAAAAAAAAATCGATAAAAATTACCCAACTGGCAGCAAAATTGTCGTTTCTTTTATTTCATTATTTTGCCGAGCGCCTGATTTTCCCCATAATGCCTCACAATTGAATTATTCTTTTTTTTTTTTCTCCCAGTCGCTATCGGCGTCACCGACAACTGGAGAGTATGTTGTGGCAGGTCAAGTTTGAGGAGATCGACTTTGTCACCGCTATACTTAGTGGCAGTGTGAGGGTGAGTGTGTGAGTGTGTGTGTGTGTGTGTGTGTGTGTGTGTGTGTG